TCGGAAGACAGCCTGCACTCTTGGGGTATCATGGCTCTTTCCTCAGCCTTATGCTTTAGAGAGACCCAAGGCCCCCATAGACTCATTCCCTCCAGGACATTGCTGGGAACGATCAGGAAGGAGCTCAGAGTTCTGAGTGGGTGCATGAGAGTTGGGGGGAGCCTTTGTGGCTGCTCCCAGCTGTCCCCTTCACCCTGTCTGTGTCTCCTGCAGGACTGCCTGGACAGGTCCTTCCGGGCCGAGGTGTTTAGCTGCCCAGCCTGTCGCTGTGACCTGGACCACAGTTCCCCAACCCGGGTGAACCAACCTTTGCAGACCATTCTCAACCAGCTTTTCCCTGGCTATGGCAGCGGCCGGTGATGCCACGAATCAGGCAGAGGGCCCTCAGCCCTGCTCCGAGTCCGTAGTGGGCTTAGCTTGAAGGTGTTGTCTTTCCACGTCTGCTCCTGGCGACCCGTCTGCCTTGCTCGCCAGTTAACCAGGCCTCTGCAGGAATCCCGTGTTCTGGCTACCAGTTGGACCTCTGTTTTTCATTTCTCTCTCTCTCTCTTTCTCTCTCACACAAAGCCTGCAATTCTCCTAGATAAGGGAAAAAAGAAACCTGCCTTTTTCTTTGAAGATGGATTTAGAAACTGTTTGGCCCTGTACCAGACCTCAATGTCATGTTGTCAAGAGTTCTCACCCCAAACCAGCTGCCTAGAACAATCCTGCAACCATCTTTGAAAAGACCCGGCACATTTTCCCGGAAGCCAACAGAGTGCTTCATTTCAGGGGTAGGCCCAGCAGCAATCCCTCAGGCCTCCACAGAAGACCTGGAGGGGGCCCTGGGCTAGCCTCAGCTCTGGCCTCACCATCCTCATGGGGTGCCTCTGGGGCCTAGCTGACACTACCTCAGCAGGACTTGACTGGCCTCAGGCTAAGGCACCAGCTGAGGCAAAGCTGACCATGTGCCTTTGGCTCATTGCCCTTTCCACTGTCTTTAGCACTGAATTGTCGGATGCCTACCTTGGAAGCCTGGCTGCTGGGGTGGTCGCTGGCTGAGTATTGTGGAGGTTTGAGGTGTAGTAACTAGTTCTCATCTTGTTTTTAACTCAGCAACTTGAGAATTATGAGGGTTTCTGTATTATATTTTTTTTTTTATGGGATGAATGCTTTCCTCAATGAATTTCTTTTGTAGTTACAGCCTGTACTGAGGAAGTCTGTGACTACATGTTTTGTTTTTGTTGGTTGGTTTTTGTTTTGTAACTTGTAACTTTACCAAAGTGTGCAGGCCATACCTCAGTAGAACACAGAAACTGAACATGTAACCAACCGCAGGCAGACTGGACAGCACTGTTTTAAGGGTCATGGTTTTTTGTTTGTTTTTTGTTAGAGTGTTAACATATTAGGGGGGAAAAACCCGAAATTCCATGTGTTCATGTGGATGTTTTCTAAAGTTCAATATTTTTTTTGTTCAGATTTTAGATTTCAATAAATTTTTTTTTTCTGCAGATACATTTGAATATTTGTTTGCTTATTTGTTCTCAAACTGCTTTGTGGTACTATCATGAAAATGAGTTGAGAGGTTGAGACAATGTGCATAAGGACACTAATGTCCAGGGCACGATTTGGTTGTTCAAATAGTTTTATGCAGATAACTGTTTACTCCTACGTGTTGACTCTCCTGCTGCACCATCCAGTAGGTCAGAGAGAAACTCCATAGCCCTGAAAGCAGAGAACAGTATCATCTAGCCTTTGACTAACAGTTTGCTGGCCCATGATCTGGAAGGTTCTACCGTTGTATAGACAGCACCACAGGTTTATAGGCAACTGGATGTTGAAGATGTACAGGGAAAAGGCAGTGCTGACTTGTAAGTCCCTGGTCATGGGGGGAGGGGAGAGGTGTGCTTCTGTGGTTTCTGGTGTGGCTGTCCTGCTTGCATTTGGCACAGGCACTGCAGGCTGCAGAAGGGCCTGGGCTCCTGTGGAGTAGTGGGTGGGTGAGCACAGCAGGGGCATGTCCCCCACCTACATACAACACAGTAGGTTGCTCCGATCATCAAGCCAAGGATGAGTCTGCTTTAAAAAAAATTTAACCTTGTGGGGTTGGAGAGTTCAGAGCATTGGCTGCTTTTGCATTTGATTCCCAGCACCCACATGGTGATAACCCACCTCTAACTCTAGTTCTGGGGCATTTGATGCCCTCTTCTGGCCTCTAGGTATGCACACAAAATGCAAGCAAGACACCTATGCATCTGTCTGAAAAATTTTAAAACTGTTAGTAACTTTTGGATGTCTGTCTTTGCCAAGTGGGTCCTGAGGATGGAACTTGGGGTTGTTGCCTTTATGTACACACGGAACCTTCTTGCCAGCAACTAGGTTACTTTTAAGGAACACTGGGGGGGGGGTAGCTGCGTGTGGTGCAATATGCCTGTTATCCTGTATTTGGATGGCAGGGACTAGCCTGGGCTACATAGTAACACCTGTCTCTAAACCAAAATGTGTTGGGCATGGTGGTGTAGACAGTTCTGTGAGTTTAGGGCCAGCTGTGTTGCAGGGCAGCCAGGGATACACAGAGGAACTCTGTCTCAAAACAAAAAAAGCCAAAACAATGGTTCCATCCTTAGCATGAAACATCGAAGGCTGTCCTGGATTTCAGGTTTACCTACCTCTACCTCTTCAGTGCTAAAACTGAGGGCATGGGACACCACTGAAAAGATTTTTAGAAAAATTTAATCTTATGACCGTGTGAGTGGGTGCCTCTGGAGGCTTTAGGTGTTGGATACCTTGGAGCAGGAGCTGTTTGTAAAGCCACTTGACACAGGTGCTGGTATTTGACTCTGGACCTCTGGAAGATCAGGACACCATGTTAACTGCTGAGCCTCCCCAGCTCAGACAAGTGTGTACCACTCTATAGACAGGAATCCTAAGGGCAGAGCAAATTTATAAATAAAAACCACTGTTAATTAAAAGCAAACAACTACAGGTCCTTCACACAGGTCATGTGCACTTGAAAATATGGTGGCAGGCTGGGGAGATGGCTCAATGGTTTAGAGCACTGGCTTCTTTTCCAGAGGACATGGGTTCAATTTCCAGCACCCACATGGCAGCTCACAACTGTCTGTAACTCCTGTTCCAGGGTATCTAACACCTTCATACAATGCACATAAAATAAATGCTTTAAAAAAAATCTTGGGGGTTGGAGAGATGGCTCATGGGTTAAGAGTACTGGCTGCTCTTCAGAGGTTCTGAGTTCAATTCTCAGTAACCACACAGTGGCTCACAACCATCTGTAATGAGATCTGGTGCCCTCTTCTGTCCTGCATAAATAAATCTTCAAAAAATATATGTATGTAGGTGATTATATATGATTCTCTTCCTTTGCACTGAGTTCATTTGTGTGTGTGCCCATGCAGGCAGATATGTGCCATCTGTGGAAGCCAGAACAAAGGACTCTTCATCATGGGCCCTGGGATCAGACACAGGTGGTCTGCCTAGACTGCAAGTTTATTGAGCTGTCTGAACTGCCTGTTTGAGACAGGGTCTTTGGTTAGTTGTTTTTTTGAGACAGGGTCTCATTGTGTAGCCATAGCTATCCTGAATCTTGCTCTGTAGACTCAGAGATCCACCTGCCTGTGTCTCCCAGTTAGTGCTGTGATTAAAGAGTGTGCCACCATTGCTTAGCTGAAGAGACAGGCTGGCCTCTTAACTCTATACACTCAGGATGACCATGAGTGACAGGCATGGTAATGGCTATTCTTAAAATTGTGGAACATTGAAGAACGAAAAAAATTCAAGAGCCATCCAGCTTGGAATAATTTATGCATAACTTTGGGAGTTAGTGAATGAAGGGGGATAGGGGGAGAAAATATCTTGCTCTCTAAGAAGGGTACTTTCCAGATATTAGATGTTAAAATCAAAGTACTTCTAGCCTTGCCTCATAAAACGGGCAGACCTTCATCCTTGCTTGCTCAAGTATAAAAGAAATAACAATGTCCACTAGCAAGCTGGCTTAGTGGGTAAAGGTGTTTGCAACCAAGCCTAACAAACTGAGTTTAATCTTGGTACCCAGACAGCAGGAGAGTCAATTCCCAAGTGGCCCTCTGACTTTTACAGGGCATATACACACAAAATAATAAGCATTGAAAACTATAAACGCATATTGATGGAGATGATATTAGGACTTAATAAATGTCCCATAGAGCCACAGCTGTAACTGTGGAATTTGGAACATACTGAGCTGGAGAGAGCAGATCCGAGGAAAATCGAGAAGTAGAGAAAAGAATCTCTCATTGAATTACTGCAAAGTTCTCCGTGGGCATCGCTATTACTTCATGGGGGGGAATCAAGGCCTAGTTAGGTGACTTCCCCAGAGGCGCGGCCTCAGCTGAACTCAAGCACGTTAAAAGGAACGGCACTTTGGGGACACTCTACCCTAGTTCTGCCCCTTGCTAACCTGTGCTCAAATCATTACTCCGGGTCTTGATCTACCGGGTCTCGAACCACCGTCTCTCGGTGTCTCATAACCGGTGTCGATGTTGTGCAGGATATCACGTACTCAACAGCCTCTTGATAACAGGGCGGAGTCCGGAGCGCAAGACAGTGATTGACATTCAGTCCCAACCAATCGGCACCCAGAGACCGTACCGAACACCAATCGGCGCTTCTCTCAGCCGGGTCCTGAGAACGCGCTTGTCAATCTGCCTGAGCTCCGTGCTAAACCAGACCCGATTTCTGTCGGATTGGCTGCGTCTCTTTTGACGGGCGTGCTCCGAACCCACTGAGAGCTGAGCCGGTCACCGGCACGTGAGTGGGTGCTGGTGCGTCCTCCTGGTTAGACCAATGAAAGCAAGAGGTCGTGCGCCTGAGCCCAACCCAGGTCGTGGAGGGTGGAGCCGTGTGGTGTTGATGAGGGGAGGGGCGGAGCTGTCAGCCTCCACCAGTAAGCGTGCGGGCGTGGGCTGGCTGTCCAACGGAGACCGAGGAGGATCTGTCGCCCCGCCCCCTGAAGCTTCGCCTCCCCGCCCGAGGCGCTTGCTGAGGGCTCGGCCGCGAGCGAACGAACGATCGAACCAGCGAACGAACAGGGCGAAGGCAGGAGCCGAGCGGCCTGAGCGAGTAAGCGAAGCCCGGCGGGGGCGACGCGACGCGGCTGAGCACGCGCCGCTCAGCCCGCTGTCCACACTCGGGGCCGCGCGCGCCGCGCCAGGTGAGTGAGCGATCGGCGGCGGCGCTCCGCAGCTTCCAGGCCCCTCCGGGGGGCCGCGCAGCCGCCATGCCTGCCCCCGCGCCGCGCCTCGCGGCCACGGCGCATACTCTAGGCCGAGGCTTCGGCCGCGGCCTACTCTGCTCCGCGGGGCGGTGCGGGTACGCTGGGCTTTTGTCCGCTCGGGCGAAGCTGCTGTTTGTTGATCGACAAAACGATTGTGTGCCTGGGAAAGGAGGGTGTGTTTTTTTTTGGGGGGGGGACGATGGGGCCGGACAAAGGCGGGGCGGGGGCGGGGCGCCGCGTCCCCTTTCCAGGGCACAAAAGATGACAGCGTGGGTGGCCCGGTCCAGCTATTCCTTCAGCATCCCCAAATCCTTAAAAATAAGAAAACCCACTCCAAGCCCTTGCTTCCCCCGCTTGCATTTTGGTTCCTTTTAGGGGACACTGGTGCTGTCCCCTCCAAACACCCCATCCATCATGCCTTCCAAACTTGACCCCTTCTTGCCCCAGAATCCCTAAATCACCATGTAATTTGCAGTTTTTCAATTTAAAAGAAAAATAGTGCATGAATCTGCTGTTGCAATGGCAGCCTTTCCACGTCGCATCCGTCCCCAGGTCCCTCTGCCTTCCAGCCCCCTTCTCTCTATAAAGCCATGAATTGTGCAGTTGCCCGCATGCACACCCGTCCAGGGTGTCCCCGGCAGACAGCCCGTTTCTTCTTCCCGGGAAGCCAGCAGAGCCGGGGACTGCTGGGGTTGGCTTTCCTACCGTAGTGTGCTGGGGGCTTCTGGGGGATCTGCTGGGCGGCTGCTGTGAACCAGGTGCGAGTATGAGGGTCCGGGATTGCAGATTTGATGGTGTAACCGGTGCGGTTTGGCCATTGTCGCTCCTGGGCTTCCCCTTGTCCCATCTGTCTGACTGGGGGAGGGGAAAGGATGGCATCGCTTTAATAATTCAGTAACACCTGGGGAAGTGTCTCGTCTGAGTTGTTAGTTTTTTCAACTAGCAAGAGGGTGGATCCTGTAACATGTTTCAAAAAGCGAAAAGAAAGACTGTATCTTTTCCTGTGTGCAAGTGGGGTTTGCTCAACGTGCCGCCTGCAGCCTGGTGCCTGCACCTTCTTAGGCTCTGAGGATCTTCGTTGCAGAATGTTCGGGGGCCCAGGGATGTCTCTGTGTCCCAATAGTTGTGTATCTGACTGTCCCCATGCTGGAGTCTGCACCATCCCCAAACATCTCTTGCCTCAAAATGGGCTCATTAGGTGGGTCTTCAGAGGCTTTCTCCCCTACCAGGAAAGGGCTAATCACTCTCTTTAATTCTGTGGTAATTGCTGCCTTCAGAGCCACCAGGAGGGCGTGTCTCCAGACAGGGCCAGCGTTTTTCTTTCCCACCCTGCACTAGCAGGAGACAGCTTTCATCTTCCCCTTTCTTTTTCCCCAAACCTTGTGGATGCCCTGTGTCAAAACTTGCAGGGTCCCTTTGGAAGACACTGGGTGAGTTTCCATGTTCTCCCCGAGAGGGCATAGAACACAAGGCAAGAAATTGGGTTGCCTAGATTGCCATAAGGTGTTTTGCTGTTTGGGGTAGAAGTGTCCCTGTACCAGGTGCTTTGTGTACCTGTGTGTGTATTCAGGTGCACCCCTGAGTTTGTTCCATTGGACCTGGGAATGTACAGGTCTAAGTGACGAGTGGTTTTCTAATCCTTTCCTCCCAGGGTGATGACTGCTCAGGAGACATTTCAGTACACAGAGGGGTCTCCAGAGATGCAGTCACTGTTCTGTGGTGTCTGCCCCCAGCCCATAGCTTGTTTCCTTTCTCGTCCATCCCAGGGGCCCTCCATTCTTCCAGCCTACCCAGCTCTGACCTAGACTTTAGGTCTTTTCTCCCCTTCCTCTGCTGGACTCTGGCCCCCTTGTTTTGCCCTCCCCTTCCCATGTTGTTCTGGGAGCCCCAGCACTGGGGTAGCCATCTGTCCCTGTGCCATCTGACACCTGTGGGGAGTCACCTGGCCCATCAGTTGGCAGGTTTTGTAAAGCCTCACTCTAGGGGCCTGGAGCTCATAGGGAGTGCTGGGAGGAGGCTAATCAAGCCAGCCCAGCACCCACAGTGAGATCACATGTGGTGAGGGGCAGAGGTGTGGGACATAGGATACTTCTGATGGTTGTCTAAAGATCTGGAGGTGGGGTAGAGGAGGGTTCAGGGCCTGGTGGCCTTGGGCTTGTCACTTGCTCAGAACCAAGGTCAGAGTCACTAGTACTCACAAGCCTCCTGGGAGCAGGGGGTGGGGAGCAGACTGTAGCAGATGGCCAGACTCTGGGGAGACCAATCACCACAGGGCCTGGGGGTGGGGTGCTGGGCTCCATCTACCACCCTTAAAGTTCAGGTCATGGTAAAGTCCTAGAAGACTGGGTTGAGGTTCTGCAGGCAGGTAGGGGCCTTTCCTGCTCTGCCCAGCATCCTGGCTCCTTTTCTATTTGTAGAGTGGGTGCCCAGCATGCTCCTGTCCTCAGGTGGCCTTGAGGGTCAAGGGCAAGGAGCCAGGCACTTGGAAGCTTTCTGATCTGCTCCCCTGTCCCCACTGGCTCAGTCCACTGTGGCCAGGTCACCACCAGGGTGGGCATTCAGAATACTTGGTATGCAGTTGGTCCTCATCCCCTTGCCAAGACCTTATCCAAGTCCCTCCACATGAGACCTGGGGCTTGGCCTTCAGCCCTGTAGATCCACCTGCCTCTTTGTCCCAGCCCCCACCCCCTTGTCCACCCTCAGTGCCTAGTGGTTCTGTTTGCTCCTGCCGCCCACTGGCCCTGTATCCAGTCCAGGCCTGTGATTGCACAGATGGGATTTGCCTGTGACCAGCCTTGGCTCCCCATTCCCACCCTTTGCATATCCCACTCTGGCAGCCTCGGGTCTGTAGAGGTGGCATTGATACCCCTCCCTTTCCTGGACCCAGTCCTGTTCTTTGATTCTCTTGTCCCTAATCAAATAGGGTTGACTCATTTTTTTTAATCTTGATCTTCTCCTTCACAGTGATGTCCCTGAATTTATGGGGTGCTCCTGTGCTGGCTGTTTCAGAGAGGGTGACAAGGACCCAGTGACTTGCTAAGCCTTAAAAGTAGTGTCTAGCCAGGCAGGACACCATGGCTCCACCCCAATACCACAAAAAAAGATCTTAAAGTAACGAACTGATTTTTAAAAAGATGTCTCAGGCTGGGCAGTGGTGGTACACACCTTTAATCCCAGCATTTAGGAGGCAGAGGCAGGCGGATCTCTGTGAGTTTGAGATCAGCCTGGTGAACAGAGCTAGTTCCAGGATGGCCTCCAAAACCACAGAGAAACCTTGTCTTGAAAAAAAAAAAAAGGGTCAGATGAGTTGGTTTTCTATCACCCCCATTGGGTGTGGTCTGCTCTGGGATCCTCTAGTCATTTTACCACCTGCTGTGTCCTTCCCAGTGGGGGCAGGAGAGCATGAGACATTACTACCCAAGGCCACTCCAGAAAAGTAAAGTCTACTAAAAAATGAAGCTTTGGGGCTTGGTGAGCACAGTGCATGCCTAAGCATGTGCTCAGCATTGGGTTCCAACTGGGTGTGAATCCCAGCCCTGAGGAGGTGGAGGCAGGAGGACGGAGAGTCCCATGCTAGCCTGGGATACATAGAGAGACTCTGTCTTGAAACAGCCACAAAGCCAAGGTAGGAAAAGGGCTCAGTGGATGGGAGCTGTTGCTGTGCAAGCTCATGCCCAAGTTCAGATATGAGCACTCACATAAGAGCCAGCCATTGCAGTTCCTGCAGCCCAGCATGCACCCATGGGGAGGTGCAGACAGGAGAGCTTCAGGGCAGCCAGTCTAGGTCAAATGGTAAATGGTGAGCTCCATTTTCAGCAGAGCCCAGGAAAATAAGGATGAGGGTGATGGAGGACACCCATATTGACCTCTGGCTTCTACCACACATGCACAATACTCCCTACCAAAACAAACAAACAGAAAAACCTACCACCACCACCAACCCCCCCCCCCCAATAGCCACAAAGAAATAAGGCTAGTGTGGGGTGAGGCTCAGTGAGTGCTCACCTCCTACATGTGAGGTCCTGGGTTCATTCCAGGACCAGACAGATGACAACAAGGGTATAGCTTCCTAGTTTGGGTTGTTGCCTCTCCTCACAATTCCTGTGGTGTAAGAGCACAAGAGCCCTGCACATACCTAGCTTTGGGCATCATGGGATCCCCCTCCCCTGGGTGACATGTTATAAGCACCCCAGCCTCTCTCTGAGTCAGTGCTAATGGCTGTAGGAAGAAAGCAATCACCCTTAGAGATAGCTTCTGCTGCCACCTAGCAGGAGAGGTGACTTCCACTGCTGCTCTGGGTGAGGGCCACTGTCCTGGGTGCCTGCCACAATCCTGTCTAACCCATGTTCACAGATTTCACTTTTGCTGTGTCTGTCTGCCCCCCTTCCCTTTCCCTCCCCCGTAGCATATGCCCACACAGCTTTGGGGACAAGTCCCTGCCAAGCCACCCATGCCCTGTGGGCCCCATGGTCTTTTTTGTTTTTTAAATCTGTGTGTGTGTGTGTGTGTGTGTGTGTGTGTCAGGACAACTTTAGGTGTGGATCCTTGCTTCCACTGTCTTGGGACAGAACCTCTTATCTCCCAGTGCATACACCAGGGCAGCTAGCCTTCTAGCTTTTGTCTCTGTCCCACACCTGACTTTCTGGGGGTTTGAACTCAGCTCCACACACTTGTACAGCAATCACTTTATCTACCTACTGAGTTGTCTCTCTTGCCCCTGGAGATCTTCCTGCCTCCCCCTCCATAGTACTGGGATTGCATGCCTGGCTTTGTTATGATTTCTGGGGATTCAAATCCATGTCCTCATGCTTGCACAGCAAATGCTTTATCCTGGCCATCCTGGCCCAGGCTGTGCCTCTTACTGATACCCAAGTGCCAGGCTGGTTGTTGTCCCTAGATAGTGGAGGAAGAGTGAGTTTGTAAATCATGCTGCAGGT